CCTAACACTACTACTACATGGCTTACATTTAAGTTCGTCTATCTCTTATGTTGTACTTTTTAACATTACTTTACCAGTATGATATGATCATGTTTGTTGTATCTGTGTGCTGATTTTTTACGCCTATCATTCTATCAAACTAGATTCTCACCTGTGCGATGCACGTGACATAGATTATTTGCTATATTATATTATTTGTTGACTTTATTAGTTAATATGTAAAACGAATGTAATAAAGAGTATACACACAAAAAATTATATTTAAAGAAGACATAGCAGTTACGACATATAATTAATTAGTACAAAATATGTTTTGAAATAAAAAAGAATAAATAGATATTGCAATCAGGTTTTCACAGCCTACACTTTTGGAGTTGTTTCCTTGTAAACAACCATGGATGGTCGGTTTGTTCGTCATCTTCATCGCAAATCAATATTTTTAAACTTTTACGATTTGTTACTCTCGATACTGCAACATAAAGTTGACCATGCTAAACACTGACTTTTTTAAATAAGAGTCAAAATAGTAAAAAGAGCATTTATTTGAATAGGTATAAACATAAAAAAGTTTAAAACTATTAAAGTTAGAAGTACCATTTATATTGTCGTTGAAAATGTTATATGATCTGTTTTGATGAGGCCGCTGATTTTTTTCACATTTTGATCAACATAATATGTTCAATCGTGTAATTATTAATAAATAGGGTTTTAAGGACATTATTTGAATATAATATACATAAAGCACCTAATTTATTACTTCCTCATTCCCGATTCACCAAATTGACTTTTCTTGATCAAAAGCAATCAACTTTGACTAATGATATTTTTTACTACGAAATTAATTTCAATACAAAAATTATATCAAAATGTTCTTTACTCAAAATATATTCATAAAAGTATAAAATTTATAAATTATATATAAATATAATAATTAAAATCATTGTCCAAAGTTTGTCATCATTGATTAAGAAAAATCAATATGACGAATCTTTTAGGGACGAAGGTAGTACTACGTATTATAAATGCAATAAATTTACTAATCCAATAATTTTGCCAAAAAAGAATGTAATTGATAAAATTTTCAAAAAAAGGGGACAATTTTAAACCTTGTAAAATACGAAGTATATACACATTTTTTTCCAGACTAGTGTACCCATTGCATGGAAAACCCAGACTAACATACACATTAATAATTTATTATCTACACCCGTACGTAATGACGCAAGCATTTTTTAATTGGCCGAAGTCGTGTTAAAAATAAACTCTCGTGCTGATTTTACTTGTTCATATATTGCAATTCAAGTGTCATTTACTAATTTTACTTGTTCATATATTATACTCTTTTACACTTCAAGTGGTTGTGTTGATCCTTAACCGTTAAATTTTACTCTTTTCCCAAACAAAGTTAGCCTGGAAGCTAAACATATACAACATTGGTGTACACGACTACATATGACAAATGTTTTTTCTAACTACTCGTAAATTCATTATGTTCATCTCATATGTCCAACTTGTGCTCTCCATTCACTTTCTCCAAAATATGCTTGGGAATTAGATATGTGCATTCTTTTATTTGTTTTTTCTCAATTATAGAAATTAAAATCCATAGTTTCTCAACCACTATATGTACTTTCATTTGCCTTTAGGTAAGTATGTAGTGGTTGTGGGTGGATATTCTATTTCGGAACTGATTTTTTTTGTCTCCTTCATTATTATTTTTCCTATCAATCACTTGCTCTTTAGTCGAGCATTTATGTGTGAAACAAATAGTTTTTTTACCTCATTAATGGAGAACAATGCAAGAAGTTGTGTTGTATTATTGTTAATTTCAATCAAAACATTCGCAGTGTATCTAACAACGTTGAGCATGAATCTTCAAATTGAGCAACATTGATGCATACATATACATGTCAAAGGCTGTAATAGACATATATAAGTTTTCTTTTCAAAAATGTTTTCTGATCTATTCTCTTGCTTGATGATCATTGAGCATGTCAGAATAAGGATGTTCTGCTATCGCACACTTGTACGATCTCATGATGATGAGTCTAAGCTATTTGAATAACATTGACTTCTTTGATTGATTAATACTTTCATGCTAGCTACCGTTTGAGATTTTTCAAAATTGCTAAGAATCTCTAATGGAGCAATAATTATCTTTCCCCACGTAATTAGCATATCAAATTGCGAAAATACCATTTTTCTTTTTTACTTTTGTTGCAGATTGTGTTGGAAATTTAATTTGAGAAATTTGGCTATAACCATGGAAGCATCATGAGGTAAAGGTTATAAACACCACAAAGTTAATTTTTTTATATCTTGATTTAACATTCTCTCAAAGGCTTGGGTAAATCAATATACTCTACTACATTGCTTATCCTTTTAGTTGGCCTTAGTCGAATGCGATGTTACCAAACGGCCTCTTACTTAACTTCTCATTTTTTACTAAGAGTCATACTAAGTCTCTGTCTCATTGTTTTCCTGTCAATAGCCATGTTTAGAGCTCGATTGAATAGTTAAAGGTCTAATATTAGTCCATTGCATGTTCTCAGTACATTATGAAAGTTTATTCCCTTCGGATCTTAAAAGCAGAGGGTTAAAATTCGATACAAAATTGAAAAAAAGTAAATGATACATTTTATGTTGATTCACGGGTAAAATGTACATGTTGAACTCATCCAAAAATTTGTATACAAATTCACCGGGACATACCCCTGATCAGAGATGAAACAAATACAGGAAAATGCATATCAATGCCTAACCCGTAAAGACCAAACAGGCTGGGACATTCCCCAGCTACTGCCTGAACGTACATAAGAGACAAACAAATATCCAAGCATGCCTAACTACCAACATAATGGTAGCCATGGAGTGGTTGTTTTATATGTTTCAGTATTATTCTTGCCCAAGAGCTAGTCCGTGGATACAACAAAAAAAGTTCATCACCCCGTTGTATGATCAAAGTCGACCTACGCAAGGCTTACGACACTATCTCATGGAGTTTTTTGAAAGAGGTGATGCTTGCACTTGGATTCCTGTATAGGTTTGTGGGCTGGACTATGGAGTGTGTGACTTCAACAACCTTCTCTATTGCCCTTATCCCCATCCCTCTTTGTTTTTTGTTTGGAGTATTTTTCCAGGTTACTTAAGCTGAGAACTAGGGAATCTGGTTTTATGTTTCACCCGCAATGTGCCTCGCTTGAAATTACACACGTTGCCTACACTGATGTTGTTTTCGAGAGGGGATCTGAAATCTATCAAAGTCATGGTGGACGGACTAGATGAATTCTCTATGACATCAGAGTTAACTGTTAACCCGCAGAAATCTAACATCTTTATCGCAGGAGTCTTGGGGCAGGAACTTACTCAATTACTCAATTTGGTTGATTTTAATGAAGGAAGCTTTCCAATTAGATACATGGGAATTCCTTTGACACCTCTGAAGTTATAAGTGGCCCAATATGGTCCACTTTTGGAGTCTTTGACTGAATATATTAACATGTGGGGACTGAAAACCCTATCTTACATGGGTAGGGTGGAGCTCATGAGGTCCATTTTGCAGGGAGTGCAATCTTTCTTGCTACAAGCTTTCTCAGTACCTTTAACGGTACACAAACGTATTGTAGCCCTGTGCAGGATATTCCTCTGGGATGGGGGCAGAGATAATGTTGCCTGGGCAGATATCTGTCTACCGAAATCTGAAGGTGGACTCGGTTTAAGGGATTCTAGGATCTGGAATATGGCATTCTTATATAAAAAAACCTTTGGGACATTCACCGGAAAGCTGATTCGCTTTGGGTCCGGTGGGTACATGCCGTGTACCTTAAAGGGAGGTGTATTTGGAGGGTGGATGCCCATAGTAGAGACTCCCAGTTGATGAAAAAATTGTCAACAATCAAAACTCTAATTGTGAACCATTTCCAAGGGCATAACAACACAATTATAGGTCTGGGAAAAATCTGCATTTCTGGTAAACTGAAGTCGACCATGATTTATGACATTTTGAGGGGGGGGGCAGCGCTTAAACGGACTTGGATGCCAATAATATGGAAGAGCTATATCCCTCCTAAATTCTCCTTCATCACATGACTAGTATTCCGGAACAAGCTTTCTACCTTGGATAACCTGGCTTTTTTTAAGCTGGATAACACTTGTTGTTTCTGCCAGTAAGAACCTGAGACTGTTGCACACCTTTTTTTTCTCACCTGTATGTTCTCTGCAACTATATGGATGGACGTCTAAAGGTGGCTGGGCATTAGAAGGAACATGTCATCCATTGCAAGCTCAATTAAACGGATACAGAGGGAACATGGGGGAGCGAGGATACACACTAAAGTTGTTCTGATAGCCTTTTGTTGCACGATATACACACTCTGGCATGCCCGAAATGCTCTTTACTTTGAACACATATGATTCTCACCCCAGGAGGTTCTCTTTAAAATCAAAGTGGTAGTGGACACGACCTTGTTTAGTCTCTATCCTAACTCCACGATTGATTTCTGATTTTCTTTTGTTAGCCGTTGTTTTGGCTGGGAGTGTTGGGGTTCTATTTTGGTTTGTGAGTTGAGGCTACCGTTTTATGTTGATTCATGTTTCATATTATGTCACTCATACTAGTTTTCCATATGCGTGAGGCAATACTTAAACTCCCTTTATCTTTACATGATATAATCACTATGAAGATGTTATTGAGTCTTCAAATGGGTCACATAGTAGTATACTTTCCGTGAATGAAAACTAAAAGAGTTTCATGAAATCCACAATTTTAACACTTATGATTCAATTAGTTACCTTTTGATTTATTTGTTATGGATTAACATAAGTAGTTTCTCAATATATGTATACTGTATTTCGAGTATGAACCCCAAACCCCAACTTCTCATTTCGAAATTCATTTTTATCTCATTGTTACGCAATTATTGTACTGTTTTATTTCTCGGGCAACTTTTAGATGTTCTCACACTCACTTTACATATTAGTAAATTATGCAATGCATGATTGAAAGATTTCAATCGTGCTTTCTCATTATCAAAATGGTGCTTAAATACACATTTACAAAGAGATTAACTCGAATGATACGCTTAAGAGCACTCATATGCTCGGTGTGCGGATCATGCTTGTGAAGACAAACTTGTTGTACTGCATAAGATATGTCCGGCCTAGTGAAAGTGAGATATTGCAAGGCACCTGCAAGACTCCGATATTGGGTAGGATTTTCATAAGGAGCACCCAGAGATGCACTTAGTTTAGGCTTAGTATCAACAGGTGTGGGACATGAGCTACAGTTTGTCATGCCGGCCCGCTCAATGATATCCACAACATATTGTTTCTGAGATAAAAACAAACCATGATCATCCCGAGTAACAGCAATACCCAGAAAGAAACTCAAATTTCCGAGATCCTTCATAGCAAATTCGGAACCCAAATGAGTAATAAAATGCTTCTGTAAGCAGTCAGAAGAGGCCGCTAGAATAATGTCATCAACATAAATGAGAAGATAAGCAATATCTAGTCCCTTCCGGTAAATAAACAAAGAGTGATCTGTTTTACTGTGAGTAAAGCCAATAGTAGTGACAAAATCTGTGAAACGTTGGTACTAGGCTCGAGGAGCCTGTTTGAGGCCATAAAGGGATTTCTTGAGTAAACAGACATGATTAGGGCGAGTCTTATCACGAAACCCCAATGGTTGATGCATATACACAGTTTCATTTAGATAGCCATGCAAAAAAGCATTCTTGACATCCAACTGGTGGATTGGCCAAGATTTAGATAGAGCAATGCGAAGAACACATCGAATGGTAGCTGGCTTTATAACTGGGCTGAAAGTTTCATCACAATCAATGCCTTGTTGCTGAGTTTTTCCATCACCAACAAGACGGGCTTTATGTCGCTCAAAAGAACCGTCAGAATGCTTTTTGTGACGAAATATCCACATGGACCGAATGACATTCACACCCTGCGGTCGAGGCACTAATTCCCATGTATTATTAGCAATAAGAGCATTAAATTCATCCAACATTGCATGTTTCCAATTAGGGTCACACAAAGCACTAACAGGATCTTTGGGAATGGGAGAGATGGTGGGGGTAGTCATTGTGGTTAAGTTGGTGAAATATTTTGGATTAGGTTTAAATATGCCATTTTGTGCGCGGGTAGTCATATGGTGGGGTGGTGGATTAGAGTTAGAAGGTAAGTTGGTGTGTTGTGGGTCAAGAAGAGTAGGGGGTTCTGGTTGGGGAGTAGGAGGTGCTGATGGCGTGAAAATACCATCGTTATGAGAAGGCGGTGGGGTGTTAGAAGGTGGTGGAGTGTATATATGTGGGAAAATGGGGTTTTCATGCAAGAGATCATAATTTTGGGGTGGAGGGTTGGGAACTTTGGCGAAGGGAAATTCATTTTCAAAAAATTTCACATGCCTAGAGATAATAATTTTTCCATTTGACATGTCATAACACTTAGATCCCCGATGATTTGGAGCAGGACCAAGATAAACACAAGGCGTAGAACGGGCCTGCAATTTGTGAATAGTGGGAGAAGGAAAAAGAGGAAAACATAGACAACCAAAGATGCGTAATTCCGAGCAAATGGGATTACATTGGTATAAAACTTGAGTGGGAGACTGAAACCCTAAGACTTTGGTTGGGAGTATGTTGAGGAGATAAGTGGCCATATGGAGGGCGTGATGCCAGAAAGATAGTGGTAAGGAAGCATGAGCAAGTAAGGTCCGAATTATATTATTAATGGACTTAATGTGGCGTTCAGCTTTGCCATTTTGAGGGGAGGTATGAGGACAAGAGAGGCGAAAAAGCATACCATGCTGATCAAAAAATTCCCTAAAAGTACCATTGATATATTCAGTGCTGTTGTCACATTGAAAAGTTTTAATGTTACGTTGAAATTGTGTATGGACGAAAGCATGAAATGTTTGAAACAAGTGTTTAACTTGAGATTTCTTTGCAATGGGAAACGTCCATAAAAATTTACTGTAATAATCAAGAAATAAGACATAGTAACAATGGCCAGAAGTACTAGTGATAGGAGAAGTCCAAACATCACTATGAATAATATCAAAAGGTAGAAAAGTGTACGATACAGAATTAGAAAATGGTAATTTAGAATGCTTTCCTAGAGGACAAGAGGAACAATACGTTTTACAAGCCTTATTACAATCAATAAAATTACTACTACTAAGAGATCTAAGTATGGCATCACCAGGATGGCCTAAGCGAGCATGCCAAAGATCAGACGAAATAGCAGTAAGGGCAGCTTGATTGACTGGAGAGATGGCTTTAGTATTGGAGAAGAGGGGATAAAGGGTACCGGTACTGTCACACCTCAGAATTTTGGCTCCCGTCTGTAAATCATTCACAGAAAATCCATAGGGGTCAAAAGTAATAGAGACCATATTGTCAGTGGTGAATTTATGAACAGATATGAGGTTCTTAATTAATTTAGGGGCATGAAGGACATTTTTTAGGGCAAAGGGAGGGTATGGATGGGGTAATGTAGTACTACCGTGACCAATAATAGGAATTAAGTGACCACTTCCAACAACAATGTTGTGATTTTTAATGCTCGAATTGAAATAGGAGGAAAAAATACCTGGATCCGCAGTCATATGAGATGTAGCACCGGTGTCCATATAGTAATTTCCGTCCGGTTGAGAAAAAGACAAAGCATGCATAGCCGTTTCAATATCCGTAGGAGTGTAGCTCACGGCAGGAGCAATGGCACTGTACGCTTGAGGGCGGGGCCCTAAAATACCCGGTCCAGCAGAGCGGGGGCTGGGTGAAATAGCCACTGGTCTAGGGGCCCAAGGAGGGGGCATGGCCCATTGGGCTACCCAAGGATTCCATGAAGCCCATGGTTGCAGTGGCCAATTAGGGCTATATAAAGACCCAGAGTTACGGCCTTTATTAGGAGAAGAGCTGGGTCCAGAAGTCTTGGAATTGGTCTTCTTGGTTCGGGAGCTTTTAGGCGCAGAGGAAGATGCCGCCGAGGATCCACCGTTCTGGACATTGCTCGACGAGACAAGGGCCGCCTGTGACTGGTTGGTTCCTTCCTTGGTGAGGCGGTTCTTGATGGTACGCTCGGCCAGTTTCAAGCGAGAGCGGCAACTTTCAATATCAGGGAGTGGGTCTTGATTTTGAATAAAATCCACAGTTCCGGCGTAGGCTTCAAGCAGTCCACCGGTAAGTTTGAGAACCAGACGGCTATTGGGAACCGTGGCGTCAACATTGGAAAGTTGTTCGGCCAGAGATTTGATGTGATTACAGTAGCTATCAATGGAGGAGAAGTTCTCAAAACTCAGGTCCGTAAGCTCTGCCTCGAGATGAATAGCACGAGAGGCTTTGTTGTCTTGAAACAGTGACTCTAAACGAGTCCAGGCGGCACAGGCGGTGTCGTCTTTGAGAAGAATAGCATGAAGAAGGTCTGTGGAAATAGTCCCATAAATCCATTGCAGAACTACAACATCCAATCTCCGCCAGAGAGCAGGGTCGGCGGCCTTTGTAGCCTCATAGGCAGCTTTCTCTGTTTCGTCTTTGGGAGGAATGATATGGTGATGAAGGTCATGAACCTAAACGAGGACTTTGAAGAGGGCGGCCCAAGAGTGGTATAGGCCATGGTCTGCGTCCAACGTGATAGGAATGAGAGTTTTGACATTCGTAATGGTGAGGGCTGAATGAAATTTTTGGGGGTTAGCCATGAGGGCAAATTTCTGGTGTGCAACGGAAGAAAGGAGAAAAAAAAACCAGAGAAGGTCACAGAGAAATAAACCTTAATCTGATACCATGAAAGGTTTCAACCGTGCTTTCTCATTATCAAAATGGTGCTTAAATACACGTTTACAAAGAGATTAACAAGGAAACAAATATATACAATAAATGAAATGGCTATAAACAAGGTAACTAAATATATACATAATGAATATATATTTAACATATATTCTAACAATGATAAGTTACCAAAGTGGTAAACTTTGGAATTCAGGTGAGTTGCTCAACTTAGTTATGCGGCACATGAATGAAATATAATTGATCAAACAATTATTAAAACGTATACGATATTTCATAAATTATTTACAAAGATCCCATAACAATTACGAATGCAATTGTTCTTTACATAAAACATTAGTTTAAAATTGGACAGACAATCTCGCGCCTTGCGTGAGTAAACACTAGCCGTTATAATAAAAAATTATTTTTATAATGTAGAACCCTAAATTGAAAAAGAATGATTGTCATGATGTCATAAACATCTTCAGGTTTTGCTCAATGTGTCGATAGTAGAAAGTCAACATCCAATTATTTATTCATAATAATTTCCTATCAATCGGATGAGAAGTATTTTGGAAGAGGGGTAAACAAACTCTTATTACAAATATCAACTTTCTTTAGGTTAGTTGGAATTTTTCAACCCCTTCACTTGTACACTTTGTTCATATTGGGTCTAGTTTACCTAATGTACATAGGATGTTTTCTTTTCGACTGTTTTCAGTCCCAGACCATACCAGACTAGACCAGATCAGACCAGACCAGACTTGACTTCCGTAGTTATAAAATACAAAGAGACCAGACGTTTACCAGACCAGACCAGCAAATTTCAATCCAAAAGAAAACATCCTTACATTTAACTATTTCATCTTATATGGGTCTGACCTAATGCAATACTTGCAATTAATTTAAAAGGATTAATAGTACTACTCATATAAAAAAGGTGCATCTTTTTTTAAGAGAGCTCATCAACTAAGAACTCAAAGTTAAGCGTGCTTTCAAAGGAGTAGTCTCATGACTGGTGACCTCCTGGAAAATTTCTCAGGACGCGCACGAGTGAGAACAAAGTGTGTACTACTTATGCTAACAACGTGAACACAAAATGTGCAAACAAAGTGAGCACAAAATGTGCAAACAAGTTAAGTGCGTTTGCACAGGAGTAGTCTTGGGATGAGTGACCCTCTGAGAAGTTTCTCAGGGCACGAACAAGTGAGCACAAAGTGTGTGGTAAAAGTTTGTGTTTGGTTTGTGACAACAGTACCAGAGGACCCAAGTAACTACACCGGGCTCTACGAGGCGGGGGTGTTACACCTAATATGTTCTATTTAATAATTTTAGGACCGTTCTGATTTAATGTATTTAAATTTGATTTAATCTAATTTTAGAATTCAAAACTACTAATAAAAAGGTCTATTAATATCCTCCTAATTGTCTTATTAAATTTTCTGATTATGTCATAATCTTCCAAAACTTCCAAAACTTCCAAATTTATTTGGAGCTAGAACTTTGCCGATTTAATTTGGTCTGCTCTGTTTAAGTTTGATCTGATCTGATTTCAACTGGTATGGTCTGGTCTGGTTTGATAAATGTCTGCTCTCTAAGTATTAGAAGCATTCAGTTAAGTATCATGATCTATACGTAATATATATGCTACTCCCTCCGTCTCATTTTACCCGTCTTACTTTCCTTTTTGAGTTATCCCAAAATAAGTGTCACCTATCCTTTTTTGAAAAGAAATACGTAGTATGTGGTTTACAACATTCCACTTTACTATACTCAAATCTCAATTACAACTTTTACCTTTTCAACCATTTTTTTAAAAATTGTGCCAAAATCAAAGGAGATCCATAAAATGGGAGGGGAGTAGTACAAACTAACTTATTCATTGAACTATATTACCCACTCCGTCCCCAAAACAACTTCCCACTTTCCTTAAATGTATGTCCCTAAATTAACTTCACACTTCAATACTTTCTTTATTTGGCAAATTATATACATCAAAACAGTGTCAAACAGTGCCAACCAATGTTCAAACAGTGTCATACAGTGTTTGAACAGTGTAAAACAGTGCACCCAACAGTAAAGTCAAATTTATTTTCTTAATCTGTGTGATTGTCAAACTGTGAAGTTGTTTTTGGGACGGAGGGAATATGATAAAAATATTTTTGGAAAAATTGACAAGAATAATCCCACCTTTCACTGGTCCAACCTTTGCACCTCATCTTCTTTCATTGAACCCTGACCATATTTTTAATCTTTCTTTGAAAATTATACAAATAATCTCACTTTTCACTTTTTAATTATATCCCTATAAAT